TGCTTCATTTATTTTTTTGTTTTATGTTTTTTGTTTTTGTTTTTTTGGTTTATTTAAAATTTTTTGATTAATTTATTTTATTTTGACACTTTGTGAGAAAAACAAACAACTTTCAAAACATTGCACATGCCAACTACGACTTTTGATACTTTCAAGAACACATACCAGCAATTTTTAAATTTTCAAGAATACTTCTTTAGAGAAATAGACGCAAGTTTTTGCAAGTTCTTGCAAGATTTCGTTTTATTTATTTTTTTATTTTGTGGTATTTGGTTTTGTTTTTTTGGTTTATTTTTAAAATTTTTTTATTAATTTATTTTATTTTGCCACTTTGGAGAAAAACAAAACTTTTCAAAATATTGTGCATGCCAACTATGACTTCCAATAGTTTCAAGAACACCTCTAGCAATTTTAAATTTTCAAGAATGCTTCTTTAGAGAAATGCTAGTTTTTGCAAGGTTTTACTTTATTTTTTTTGTTTCATGTTTTTTTTTTTTTTTTAGTTTATTTTTAAAAATGAGCGCAAGTTTTTGCTAGTTTTTGCAAGTTCTTGCAAGGTTTTGCTTTATTTTTTTTTTGTTTTGTGTTTTTTTTTTTTTGGTTTATTTTGCAAGTTTTTGCAAGGTTTTGCTTTATTTTTTTTTTGTTTTGTGTTTTTTGTTTTGTTTTTTTTTGGTTTATTTTTAAAAATGGTCGCAAGTTTTTGCAAGTTTTTGCTAGTTTTTGCAAGTTCTTGCAAGGTTTTGCTTTATTTTTTTTTGTTTCGTGTTTTTTGTTTTTTTTGGTTTATTTTTAAATTTTTTTATTATTTTATTTTGGCACTTTGTGAGAAAACAAAACTTTTCAAAACATTGCATATACCAACTATGACTTCTAACACTTTCAAGAACACACTTTCAGCAATTTTTAAATTTTCAAGAACACTTCTTTAGAGAAATAAGCGCAAGTTTTCACAAGTTTTTGCTAGTTATTGCAAGTTCTTGCAAGGTTTTACTTTATTTTTTTTTTGTTTTGTGTGTTTTTTTTTTTTTTGGTTTATTTTTAAAAATAGCTGCAAGTTTTTGCAAGGTTTTGCTTTATTTTTTTTTTGTTTTGTATTTTTTGTTTTGTTTTTTTTGGTTTATTTTTAAAAATAGGTGCAAGTTTTTGCAAGTTTTTGCAAGATCTTGCAAGGTTTTGCTTTATTTTTTTTTGTTTCATGTTTTTTGGTTTTTTTTTGGGTTATTTTTAAAAATAGGCACAAGTTTTTGCAAGTTTTTGTAAAGTTTTTTTTGTTTCGTATTTTTTGGTTTTGTTTTTTGGTTTATTTTTAAATTTTTTTTTATTAATTTATTTTATTTCAGCACTTTGTGAGAAAAACAACAACTTTTTAAAACCTTGTGCATACCAACTATAATTGACACTTTCAAAAACGATAGAAAACAAAGAATCAAAGATAATAGCTAACTATGGGATGAGCGAAAATACATATATAGGCTAGTTTTTTGTATATAGTAATAGATTAAATACAATGAAGTGTGAAAATAGTTTAAAATATTTGTAATAATGTAAAAATAATATATAATAATAATAAATAAAAAATAAAAATTTTATATTAAATTGCGAAATATTGCGAAACTCTATAAAATAACATGATTATGTGAATATATATATTGTTTATTTATTTTTTAAAAAATTTTAAAAATTTGCAAAAATTTGCAAAATATTGTGAAACAATGCGAAAACAGTACAAAATATATGAAATTATTATTTTTGTGATTTTGTAGCCTCCCAAGGAGGCATTTTTTTGTTTGATTTATTTTGTAATATTTCGCATTGTATCAAAATATTATGGCAACTTATATAAGATTACGTATATATAATTCACTGATATACTATAGTGTAAACTTATATAATTATTATCCCTACGCAATACTCTGAACTAATCATAAATTTTTCGCAAGTTTACGCTCATGTAAAAACTTGCGGAGATTTATGTATATTTTTTTTTGCTGATGCTATATAGTAAAAAATGAAGAGTATACTAGCAGCAATAAGTTAGCAGTTGTTATTTAAAGATAGTTTTCATACACTACCTGCTAACTTCTTTAGAGTTTATCACTCACCGCATGCATGGCACTTGTCATTTAGAAGTAGTTCTCATATACTACTTGCCAACAAGTTTAGAGTTTATTACTCACCAACAAGTAATGCACAGGTGCTCCAACCCTTTTCTAGAAGAAGATTTAGAAGTTGTTAAGTTTTTTCATAAATGTAACTACTTTTCTTGGGTGCAAGTAGTTTCTTCCTAAATATTTTTCGCTTGGCTAGTCTGCTCCAAAATTTTCGACAAAAAGTAGGCAATTTGGTTTACCTCCTTCAAAAGATCAGCATTGTTTATCTCCTAAATTTGGATATACTTAGGAATACAACCACATGTCTTGTTTATCGGTGGATATGATATGCGATATAATCTGTGGATACAGGGTCCTCTACGTAACTGGAATCAGGTTTCTTGTATAAGAGATACTGAAGGTAGCTAGTAGTCAAATAATAATTTGTTAGGTTTTATACTAGTCAAGATATACAAATATTGCAGTTGTTATAAAATTTTTTTTAAACCTGGCAAGGTTATAATAGTGTAATTTTCTTTTTTCTTTTATTCTATTTGTACTATTTCTTGATAGAGATAGTTTCCCCTTTATTGGCTCTCAGGTTTTTTTTTTTGTTTTTCTTTTTTTATATTTCACTATACCCTTCTTTACTGTTTCTTTTAAAAATTTCTCTTCATTCTATTTGTTTTTTTTAGTTAGTTTTTCATTTTGTCTTCTTAGTATTAGCAGTGGTTTTGTATTAGATATAAAATCATTACTTTCTTTTGCTCTTGGTAAAGAAAGAGAATATAAAAAGAAAAGCTTTGACAAGCTAACAAAGTTTATCTAATCTGTATACAGGTTGGTGTGACAAGTCATATAAGAGCACGTTAATCATAGCCAGGTAATGTTAGACTCGCAATTGCAAGACTCTCTGTTTAGGTTATGAATGATATATATTGTTTGAGAGAGTTCAACTCTCACCAAAATATAGTCTTAAATAAATTGAGCACTGGCAAGACTGTTAAAAAGTTAAAATAAAAATAAAAATTCTGTCTCAGAACTTACAAACATACAGTATGTCATTTGGTTTATATTAAAATTATTGTAATTTCAGTTATTATTTGCTAAAAAAACTTCAGTTACAAACCTACTTGCTATTGTGATAGTATACTGCATGCAGTTTAAGTAAATTCATATTAGAATTATTATGGTTTCTTGTAAAAAAATTCAGTTACAGTACTTACAGACTATTATGATAATATAAAGTATATTGGAGTTAGTTTGTATTAGAATTATTGTGATTTTACTAAAAAAAAATCAGTTATAGAGCCTATCAGATTATGCTTAATTCAGTCACAAACACACTAAAAATATATAGTATTAAAATTATCGAGATTTTTGTTTCGCCACAAAACTTACAAACTGTTACGACAAAGATAGCATATCACTATGTTCAAAAAAAATTGAACCTAAATATATAAAATTTTGGCAGATAAATAAAATGTGAGAGTATATAAAAAGAAAAATTAGATATGCAATCTTTTAATTGAATATAGCAACAGCTATTCCTAGTTGTGACAATACATGATATAAGGAGCTTCATAGCAAAACAAGGCTTAGAGACATTTTAGATTTGTATAAATATTTTGTAATAATTTTATATCTACAAATATAAACCTTTAAACTATAAAAATATTTGCTTGCTTATATTATAAGCAAGCAAATATTTTTGTAGTTTAAAGGTTTATATTTGTAGATATAAAATTATTACAAAATATTTATACAAATCTAAAATGTCTCTAAGCCTTGTTTTGCTATGGGGCTTCCTATATGTATTGAGCTAGTTTGTATTATAATTACATAATTTTAATAGTGAATTACTAGAAAAGATTCTGGTAAAGAACCTATTCGCTATTGTGGTAAATGTATGTGGTTAAAAGTAGAATCAGTTTATATTGAAATAATTATAAAAAATTCTATTACAGAACTTACAAACTATTGTTGAGTTCATATTGGAATTATTAGTTACAAAATCACTCATTATATGTGTAGTTAAAGATAAAATTAGGTTGTATTAGAATTATTGATTCTATTGTGATTTACTAAAACAATTCGATTACAGAACTTACTTACAATTTACTACTATATGAAAGCAATAAAACTCTACAATAGCAACAAGGACACAATAGTTTCAACATTAGCAATTCTAAATAATGTGAAAGAAAAAGGTTGTTACATAGTAAACCAATACTATAAGCTCTGGCACTAGTGATATCAAATAAAGTGATCTACAACGTATAAAAATAAATTAGAATCTTTTTAATTCATTTATTTACTCTACAAATAAGCATTGTTAAAATGATATTTACTATAATATACTTTAAATAAAATTTACTTTTAATATTACCTTTTCAAGAAATCTATTTTAAAAAACTTTGAAATTAAAAGTATATATATAAAATAGGGTGAGTGAAAAGTTTAAATTTATATATAGGCTTTTATATGCTTAAATAATTTAGATATATATAATATAATAAATGCTACATGCATCAAAAGTAAACTTTTTAATGAAAAGCTATTACAATTTAATGTTTTAAATATTAAAATCTTACGGTATCATTCTACAATTTGTGTTACTTTAATATAAATATTTTGACCTTACATATAGCCTTAAAATTTTAATTTAAACACTATATATATGTGATTTGTGTCAAAATTTTCACTAGTTGACTGGCAAATTATTAATTAAAATGCTATTAAGCATTCTTTTGGGATCTGATACTAGCATCTCTTCTCTTTTTTCAATTTTTCTGTTAATTTCTTTTTTGTCTGAGATTTTTCTTTTATTGTTCCAGATGTTATATGCTAGTTTACATTGTGTTGAAGCTAGCAGTGTAAATCCTTAGACCATCTAGTAAGGACTATTTAGACTTTTTCTTCAGTATATTCTTCAATCTTTTTCATTTTTGTTTCGATTTTCTCTTGGTTTGTATTTTTTATTAGCTTTGTTAAATTAGTCTTACACTTTCTGCAAAGCTTGTTTAACTTTCTAACTTCTTTTCTCGCAACTTGTAAATTATGATTTGGCAATTCTTTTATTAGTGTTTTTTGCACTTTCTTCTTAGGCAATATCTTTTTTGCTGCTCTTTTGATTGCTTTACTAATAATTTTCCACTTTGCATTTGCACTTAATGACTCCTTTAGAGCTTTTTTATTTTGTAATATGGCTCTCAGCTATGCTTTGAATATAATTTGGTCAAGGAATTCTCTATATTCTAACCAGGTCTTCTCAGTAGTACTTTCTGTAGCAAAAACTATTCTTTTAGTTTTTGCTCTTCTACATATAGCACTTTTATTGGTATGTAGACCTATACTTGTTAGAAGTGCTATACTAATTATATAGTGATCACTAGAAGTAATATTTTGTGTTTTCAAACTCCAAACAGTTTGCTTTACATTCTCTAGAGATCCAAATATAATTGATTCTTGTTTCTACTTTTCTGTCTTGCTATGTGCTATCATAATTCTCTCTATTAAAAATTTGCCCTAAATTTGCAAAACTCTTATTTTCGAAAAATTTAAAAAGCTACTCAATTTTTTTTTTGTTTTTTTCTTTTTAGCTAAATTTTTACTTGCTTTGGAATTAAAGTCACCTAGTATAATAAATTTTTTTTCTTTTTTTCCAACTTGTTGAAATTGTTTTCTAATCTTTTTAGCAATTTTGTTTTCTTTATTTCATCATTAGGAGGAGCATATATGCACATTATATAGTAATCTATTTTTTTAAACCACATTACTAACTCTATTAAATAAGCTGAGCTTTTTTCTACACTAGCTATATATTTAACACATTTTTTTCTAATAATAACCCCTACTTCAAAATCTTTGTTTTTAAAACTTTCTTCATTTAACTAGAAGCCCTTATATTCTTCATTACTTTGTAGTAACTATTTGCTTTTTTTATTTGTAATATTCATTTTACTAAGTTTATTATATCAAAATTCTTTTCTATCATAAAGTCTACAATTATTTTAAATTTGATCTTGCTTACTTTTAGCCTATTGATATTGTGTGTTCCAACTTTGATATACTTTAAATCTTTTTCATTTTTTTTCTTTTCTTTCTTCTTCTCCTTAATTTTTTGGGACATCAATCTCTGTTTTGTTAAGCTGCCTTTGGCAACTTTTAGAAGTAATTAGGGAGATTTTTTTTCCTAAATGCTTTACAAGAATAATTTTTTTTATTTGGAGTCTATCTTTTTTTAAGTTAAAAATCTTGTTGTTTTTCAATTTTATTTAATTTTTCTAGAATCTTAAATAGAGCTAAATTGAGTGATTTAAAGCTAGATTTCTTTATATTATTTAAACTTTTTCTGTATTTAGACTTCTTGCTTCTATATTCTTGTTTAAAACTTTCAGCCTTTTGTCTACCTGTTCTTGGATATTTGTATTTTTTCTTACTGTCTTTGGAAACTCTGGTCCTTTGCTTTTTTTGTTATCTTCTTGCTTGAATTGCTGTTCTGCAAGGTTTGAGTTTTTTTTTTTAACTTGTAGACTGTTTAAAATATTTTTTTTTGAGGTATATAAATTTTTTTTTATCTTTGTTACTTTTTGAAACAAATCTTCTTCTAGTTGTTCTAAGTTATTTATAACTGAAAAACTATCTCTTTTTCTTCTTTAATTTTTGCTCTAACCCAATCTAACTTCATATTATAATAGTATACTTTTTTGCTTAAAGCTAATATTAAATTTTTTTCAGATTCAAAGTATACTGATACAGTGCTTCTCTGGTTTTTGTTACTGTTGTAAGATATATAAACTGCTTGCATGTTTACTGTTTTTAGCTACTTTAAGAGTATTGTTTCTAGAGCTGTTTTTGAAATATTTTTAATTACTGCTTTGTGTTTTGCTCTTTTGAACAAGATGTCTCTTGTAAAGTTTCTTTTGAATATATGTAGTATTTTTTCTTCCTCAAAATAAACTGTTTATATCTTTTTTAAGAAAAATTTTCTTCTTTTGCTTTGAAAGGTTATTTTGAAATGCTACTGTTTTTTTCTTTCTATATTGTTTAAACTATACTTGGCCATAAAACTGCAGACTTTTTCTTATTCTAATTGCTTTTACTTCCAAAAGAATATTTCAAAGAGTAATACACTCTTGCAGAGATGTTTTTTTTTTTTCTGCTATTTTGTACTCTTTGCTACTATCTTTCTCAGCTTTAATCTTACTAAGGTAGCTTTTATTATCTTGAAGTAGTTCTAGACTTTCTGATATAGCCTCATTGAGTTTTATAGTTTGGCCTAGTAATCTTTTGCCAGATGTGAGTTAAGTTTCTACTTCTTTTATTTTTATTTTTGTACTCAGTCCCACATAGTTTGCAAGAATGTTGTAGCTACTGATATTGAGTTTTCTCTAATTTCATAATCTATACATTTACATTCTTGCTTTTTTAGAATCTTTTTTGGTTTGTAGGATGTCTTCTGGTTTTACCTGTTGGTGTTTGCTAGCATTTTTAACTCTGAGAAATTCTAACCTGTTATATAGCTCAACTATACTTTTAAATATACAAATTAGCTATAGTTTTGCTTCTGCTATTTTGGCTACCTTCTTGTCTTTTCTGAGAATTCTGCTTATATATTTATCTTTGATCATATTAAACTCCTCTAGTGGTTTCAAAAAAATGTCTCTATATATTTCTATTTTTTGTTCTCATTTTATTTTGAAGGATGATGTTTGAGCTGTATTTGTTATGTATGTACTCTCATGGCTTACATGCTTTATATTGTTTCATACATTCTGTATTTGTCTATATATAACAATATGCCTATGTGTTTATTTGTTTACTCTTTATATATTCGTTTGTTTATAGTTACATGTACTAATCTACATTACAGGGTCTAGAGCAATTCTCAAATTTTGCTAAAAAACTAAACATCAAAGCAAAAAACCAAAGTTGTACTTGACTGTGTATTTTGTTTTCTCTAAAACTTAATATATTACTGTATTTTCATATATTCTATTTATTTGTTAAAACTAAAAACTACAGTGTTTAGTAACTTTAAGTCTTTGTATTAAAGTTTTTTTTTAGAATTTTGGTGTAAATAATTATCAGAAAGAGTTGGCTGAAAAATTTTTTTAACTAGTTTGCAGTTTTAATTATAAAAATTTTTTATTTTTTTTAAAGGTTTGTTATGCTATTATATATAATATATATAAAGAAAATTTTTTGTTAGGTTATTTTTTATAATAAATTTTTAGACTATTATGTAATAGTCTATTACAATTAGATTTATTCTTTAAATATTTTTTAAAATATATATAATAAAGAGTGAATCTATTTGTTGCCAATGGTGATACAGTGATAGTCATATTGGCCAATCATGTCATGGGAACAGGTTATATTTGTATAATACAAAAATAAAGAAAACAATGAAAGTTTTCAAAAATTCATAATAACTCAAAATTTCATCTATAAAACTACCTTTAATGTTCTAATTAAAAAAATTCTGTGCAAAAATTTATTATATATTATATTTAACCCAACTCTAGCATAATAGAAAGTCGTTTTGATTGGCTAATGTGGTACAACTATAATATTGATCGTTATATAATTATTTATATTAGCTTTAGAGTACCCCTTATATGAAAATATAATCGCTTATATGACAAATCGCTGTATATGTTACTTATAAGCAAATAACTTTCAGAATATATTGGTCTTTGACCTTACTAGTTCTGGCAAATTTAATCAGATATAATTAAATTCTCAGGAGACTTTTACTAATACCGCATTTTTGCCTCTAGCCTAATAGTATATAGCTAAGTAGTCTTGTGAAGTACTTTTTTTTTTTGAGATTCTTTTTAAAAAGTATTACTTCAATAGCTAATTTTAAAAACTTGTACTAGTAATCAAGATGTTCTAGTGATTAGAAAAGAGATCTGAACGATTTATAAAAGGTAGGTATAAGAACTATTAAATATAAAAAAAGCGTTTAATAGTATTTAAGATTTATTTTCTATAATTTTTTTTTTAAAGCATTACTTTAATAGCTAATATTAATTCGTAATATTAATTTAACAGAAAAATAGAAATTCTGGTGATAACAGTTGCACTCCACAAAAATAGTTTGCTAATTACTTCAATTCCAGTAATAATAATCTTGAATTAGAGTGAGAAAAAGTATTAGCAGTACTTCAGCAAGAATACTGCAATAACTCTTAAATCCTGAGAATAATAATCTTAGTTCAGAACAAGAAAAAGTGTTATAGTTCTGTATAGGGCACAAGAACTATCAAAAAAGTGATTAAATAATAATTTAAATTGCTAAGTTAGTTTAGAGTTTTTTTGCAAACCAAATTTTGTTTATGTAGCTTTTAATTGAAATTTTTGTATTGATAAAAGACTCAATTTTGAATTGTAAATGCTTATTTTATCTATGTATAATAAATTAATTTATATTTTAATGATATAAAATTAGATTCACAAACTTATTTATCCATTATTTATAACTTGCTTTTTTTTATTTGTTAATAGAATCAAAATTACAAAGAAAATTTTTACATTAATAATCAAAATTTGTATAAATAAAATAAACATAAACTTATAAAAATTAATCTATATTTTAGAAATGTTTGACATCCCAATGATAATATCAATATTAGATAAATATTATAAAATTTATTCTGCTAAAACAAATAGTTGGCTAAAATGTGCTGTTGCATAACAAATTTTATGATATTAATCATTGTATGACCAATATCTTATAAATAATACTTTTTCTCACTCTAAACTAAAATTATTATTTCTAGGATTCAAGAGTCATTGCAGTATTCTTGCTAAAATACTGCTAATACTTTTCCTCACTTTGATTCAAGATCATTATCACTGAGATTGAAATAATTAACAAAGTATTCTTGCAGAGTGCAACTGCTATTACCAGAATTTCTATCTTCCTGTTAAATTAATATTACTAATTAATATTAGCTGTTAAAGTAATGCTTTAAAAAAAAAAAATCACAAGAAATAAATTTTAAATACTATTAAATGCTTATTTTATGCTTAATAGTTCTTATACCTATCTTTTATAGATTGTTTAGATCTCTTTTGTAATCACTAGAATATCTTGATTACCAGTACAAGTTTTTAAGATTAGCTATTGAAGTAGCACTTTTTAAAAAAAATCTTAAAAAAAAAGTACTTTATGAGTCTACTTAGCTATATACTATTAGGCTAGAGGCAAAAATATAGCATTAGTAAAAGTTTCTCAGGAATCTAATTATATTTGATTAAATTTGTCAGCTGCTAGTAAGGTTAAAGACCAATATATTTTAAAAGTTATTCGCTTATAAGTGACATATATAGTGACTTGTTATATAAGCGATTACAGTTTTATATAGGTTACTCTAAAGCTAATATAAATAATTGTATAATAATCAATATTACAATTGTACTACATTAGCCAATCAAAATAACTTTCTATTGTGCTCCCAACTCTAACTTTGTTCTAACTCTAACCTTAATGATAATTAATTTTGGCATTTGTTTTGATTTTGTTACTTAATGTGATTGGCAAATTGCAAATATCACCATATCACTGATAGTGACAATTATATTATTTCTATAATAAATTAAGTTATTTAAATATTTATATTAAATTTTAAAAAAAAAATTTATTTTAAAAAGATTGGTGTATTATTTAGACCAAAAATTCTCACTGAAAAAAAACAGAACTTTTATTGAAGTTGTGGTCTAACATAATGGTTTG